CAAAAATAGAGCTAAACCAGAGTTAAATCTGTTACTGTTATCAGCAGCTGAACTTCCACAGTTCCCACAGTGGTTCAGTAACTGGATGAAGTGGACTAAAAACCAGCTCTGATGGAGGGATGGATCCTCCCACAGGTGGAGTCCAGCCTTTTCCCCCTGAAACTTGCGGGTTTTCTACTTGAACTGGTTCTGACTGTGGTGGGAATCGAGCTTCCTCCCGGCAGACTGCGTCACGCCGGCTCTCTGAGGAGTTGCTGGGCGACGATGTTTAGAGAAGCCGGCGAGCAGATTGTGTCCAGGAGTTGATTAAATTTCCGCCGCACACGGAGAGCCGGCGGCTGCTCAGACAGCCTGAAGCAGCGATGAAGAGGAGGCGATGAAGAGGAAGCGTCCTTCAGCCCCACAGGTGACTGCAGTTCATCTCAGAAAAAGGACCAAAAGCTTAAAGGACATTGGGTAGGATTTTAAGTATTTCATTAGATAAATAATTTTCTTAATTTATAACTGTGTCCTTATTTGCTTCAAAATTAACTCTACAATGATCTGACTTCTCCGCATAAGCAAATAATCTCCTATCTGTATATACAGTAGAACCTCTACATAGGAATCTAACTGGTTCCAGGACCGACTTCGTATGTTAAAATATTCGTATGTTGGTTCAAATATTCCAATCAAAATACACTGTAATTCGTCTAATTCGTTCCAGAGCCCAAAAAGCTACCCTAACTCCTTAATAAAGACAGCAGATAATTACATATAGAAATAAAACAAATACATTAAGTAAGAGAGATGTAAAAAGAAATAAATTATAAAGGAATTATCAATAAAATGGGTTTTTTAATGGCACTTTACCTGAGATAGAACGGAGGTAGAGGTAGAGACTGAGATACAGGACTTTCCCTAACTTACTCTGACTTTCATTACCTGAACTTTAAACAAACTTAGCTTATTTATTTTTATTTAATATTTATTCAACATCTTTTTCGATGACTTCAATGTCATTTGTTGGAAATTTACTTAGGGTGTCGAGTCGAATATTTCATCGAATTTCACTTAGAAAATTCGTATGTTTAGGTGAGTCCATCTTAGCTCCTCTTTAACAGGATATTAAGGACATCTTTCAAACTTTATTGCATGAAGCAGAGTCCACCTCAGTGGCCTGTGAGCATTTCAAAGGGCTTTAAATAGCCGTTCACTGTGGACGAAAAGGTTAATTTAGTTTATTTAAAATAAAAAGGAGAAAATGAGTTGCTTCCTGCTGGTTTTCCTGTAAAAGCTCCTGTTCTTTGCTCTTCTATATCCAGTACAGATTTATGGTGGTTTTCTGAGGGGACGAGTCGCTTTAAACATTTAGAAACAAAGAATAGATTTGTTTAGTATTTTCTTCATTTAATTTGAACTTTTTACTGGGTTTGTTCAACTTGAACCTGGAAACAATCTGCAAATATCCTGTTTTCATCCTTGATTTTGGTTTTATTGACGTATTCAGAGACATCGTGTTTTTTTAAAAGAAAAAGGAGAAAACAGGTTCCTTCCTGCTGGATTTCCTGTAAAAGCTCCTGTTCTTCGCTCCTCTTTGCCCTTCTTTGCTCCTCTTTGTTCCCCTTTACTTTTCTTAGCTCCTCTTTGCTCGCCTTTGCTCTTCTTTGTTCCTCTGTGCTCTTCTTCGCTCCTCTTTGCTCCTCACCTTCATGGGTGCTCTTTTTTGCTCTTCTTTGTTGATCTTTACTCTTCTTTGTTCCTCTTTGCTCCTCTTTACTCCTCTTTTCTCCTATTTGCTCCTCGCCTTCATTAGGGGTCTCCTCAGTGGCTGAACCCCCCCTTCTCCCCCCCCCCCCAGCCTCTGTGACCCTCCCTGCCATGGAGATGCTGCTGCTGTCCGTCTACATCTTCACCTTCCTGACGGGGGTCCCCGCCAACATCCTGGCCTTCTCCACGCTTCTTCGCAAGGCGTGCCGCAAAGCGGCGCCGGTGGACGTGCTTCTTCTCAACCTGACGGGCTCCGACCTGCTCCTGCTGGCCTTCCTGCCCCTCAAGATGAAGGAGGCGCAGGACGGCATGCTCTGGCGGCTGCCCTACGCGCTCTGCCCGCTCACCGGCTTCCTCTTCTACGTCAGCATCTACACCAGCACGCTGCTGTTAGCCGCCGTTAGCGTGGAGCGCTACCTAGCCGTGGCGTTCCCGCTCCGCTGGTCGGTTTGCCGTCGCCCGCGTTACGCCGCCTGGGCCTGCGCCGCTTTCTGGCTGCTGACCTCCGCCAACCTCAGCATCGTCTACATCCTGCCCTACATCCAATGGCGGCATGGCGCGGGGGGCGGGCCAAACGCTAGCGCCTGTGCGGGCGCCGCCATGCCGCCGCCGCCCACCTGCTACCTGCACTTCACCGAAGAGGAGCTGAGCATCCTCCTCCCGGTCCGCCTGGAGCTCTTCCTGGTTCTGTTCTGCGTCCCGTTCGCGGTCAGCTGCTTCTGCTACACCAACTTCGTCCTGATCCTGTCGCGGCTGCCCAGACTCAGCCGGCGCCGGCGGCTTCGCGGCATCGGCCTGGCGGTCGGCACGCTGCTGGTTTTCGCCCTCTGCTTCGGGCCGTATAACGCGTCCCACGTGGTGGGCTACGTGACCCGGGAAAGCCAGCCGTGGAGAGACGTGGCGCTCCTTTCCAGCACCCTGAACACCTGCCTGGACCCCTTCATCTTCTACTTCTCGTCGGCGGCTGTGCGCGAGGCGCTGAGCTGCTGCCTGCGCGGGGCGGCCGCGAAGCTGCACCTGCTGTTCAGGTGGCGCCAGGCGCCGCCGCGCATGCGCACCGAAACCCGGAAGTACGAGGCGGGAGCGCCGCCGTTCGTGCTGGAGCCCCGACGGCCGGAAGACGAGCAGCACGCCGGGCAAAGAGCAGCTTTGGACGGAGTGTGATCGTCTGTGTGCTCGCTCTGCTTAAAAGCCAAAACACGCGTGATGTTTCCATCGGATTCAAATCCGTTTCAAGGGATTTTTTCGTTTTTATATCTGTTTTTTGCAGAGAAAATGATTAAAATCCTCAGATTGTTTGCGTCACTGAAACAACAAATGATGGATAGAATATTTGAATTTAATGTTTTATTTTCCTGTTTACTAAGTAAATTAAAAATTGGATTAAGTCATCCACAAATTTCCCATAAGCCATAATGAATTATTAGGACAAATGTTTCACTATCAAATTAAAAAGTTTTAAAATCTTAACGCTGAGTTAATCAAATGTTGAACAATTCTGCTTCAGTTTGTTCTCCACATCTATTGAGGCTATATCAGGATATTTGATCCTATTTTAAGGTGTGAAAAACCCCCAAAGTACTAGTTGGAGTCTTCAGACTTGATGCATTTTAGTTAGTTAAAGATCGCCTGGCTCTTTCTGGTTGCCGACACCTCTTACAGAGTTCAGAAAGCGGCAGATTTAGAAGGAAAATCCCGTTTTGGAAACCAGCCATCCTCATTTATTCAGCATTCATTAACAGAACGATACGAGAGGCAAGTAAGAAACCAGCAGCTGAGCAGTGTTTAGGAAGAATTAAAAGTCCAAATCAAGGCAAGAACGAGCACACAGAGCTTAAAGATGTGTCAGATTTATTCCAAAAATTAAATATGACAAGTAAAAAGGCTCCATGTGGGTCCAGATGAGGCCGGTTCTGTCAGGCCCTCCAGGCCAATCGGAGCCATTATTGCTGCCATGAAGAGGGAAGACGCACTTACAGACACAGAGTGAAATAAATAACTGATCTCATTAGGAGAGGCTTGGTTCTGGGCCGGGCCCAGCAGAACCCGTCCAAACACTGAGTGTGTTTCAGTGTTTCTTTAGGGGAAGCAGCACCATCAGGAAAGGCACAAGCTGGTGGCAACGCCCGCCGACCCGAAGCGGCCCGGCGGGCGGTTCTGACCGGATCCCAACAGGAAGCAGCCAGAGGCTGAATGTGCTCAGCTGTAAAACAGCCGCCGGGCTTCGCTCAGAGTCGGCGAGCAGGCACGACGGTTTTGGTCCGACCCGGAGGCCCAGAGGCCCAGAACCGGGTCGGCCCGAGGCCCCACAGAGCGGGTTTCTGCTGGTTAGCAGGTCCGGAAAAGGCCCAAAGCGCCCGTCAGGAGCCCAGAAACAGCAGCAGCTGTCGGGTCCTTCTGGCCCGTTTGGGCCCAATCAGACGGCTAAAAACGGTTAAAAGGACCCCGGATGTGGGTCCAGGTTCAGAGGAACCAGAGGGAACCACATCTGGCTCCTGTTAAAAAGGCCTGCCGGCTTCTTATTGCACCGACGAGCTCGTCCAGCAAACCGGGGCGGTTCTGGAGAGCAGCGCTGATTTAAGGGCAGCACATCTGGAGCAGCTCCAGCTGGGGGCAGCATATCTGGAACAACTCCAGACAGAGGCTAAACATCTGGAGCAGCTCCAGACAGAGGCTAAACATCTGAAGCAGCACATCTGGAGCAACTCCAGACAGAGGCTAAACATCTGGGGCAGCTCCAGACATAGGCTAAACATCTGGGGCAGCTCCAGACACAGGCTAAACATCTGGAGCAGCACATCTGAAGCAGCTCCAGACAGAGGCAAAAACATCTCGTTCAGCACATCTGGAGCAGTTCCAGACAGAGGCAAAACATCTGGAGCAGCACATCTGGAGCAGCTCCAGCCAGAGGATAAATGTCTGGAGCAGAACATCTGGAGCAGCTCCAGCTGAAGACAGCACATCTGGAGCAGCTCCATCCGTGGGCAGCACATCTGCTGCAGCTCCAGCTGGGGACAGCACATCTGGAACAGCTCCAGCAGGGGCAGCACATCTGGAGATAGCACTCTGGAGCAGCTCCAGCTGGGGACAGCACATCTGGAGACGGCAGATCTGGAGCAGCTCCAGCTGGAGATAGCACATCCAGAGCAGCTCCAGCTGGTGGTAGTACATCTGGAGACAGCACATCTGGAGCAGCTCCAGCTTGGGGCAGCACATCTGGAACAGCGGCTCAGGCGAAGTACATGGTCCTAAGGGCGTCCTGGTGGATCTGGACGGCCTTGGCCAGCGACTGGGGGTCTCGGCCGTTGCTCTGCCCAGAGATCTGGCTGCCCTCAGCACTGCGGCACAAACAGCAGGTTAGAGAAGGGGGAGAGAGGGCATTTGACCTCTGACCCTGCAGCTCATTGGCTGCTGGAACAGAACCAGCTAGACTCTGAGAACCAGGTTCTGCTTTCGAGTCAGAACAGGAGAGGCTTCGTTTCAGCTTTCTGCTCCTAAAATCTGGATCAGTCTTCCTGAAGAAGAGACCGAACTCAGAGTGTTTAATTCCAGATAAAAACATCTGTTTATCTGCACGTTTATTCAATGATTGTTTTATTTTGTTGAGCTTATTTCTATTTTTTTTTCTTTAAACTCTTTGTAAAGCACTTTGAATCTATTTAATTTACTTTATTGATTCGTTTCATTTATTTTTCTGGTTTTAAACTCTGAGCACTTTGAATTGTGAAATTAAATGGGCTTAAATCGAGGCTGAATTATATTGAATGAATTCTAGTTAACTGATTTTACAACTGGATGTGTTTTATCTGCACTTTGAATCTATATTAAAAATTGTTTTATTTTCTTGAACCTAATTCTATCTATTCTCTGCTTTTAAACTCTCTTTAAATCACTTTGGACACTAAATATGCTGTAAAACAAAGCTGCCTGACCCCTGACCTCTGAGCCTCTGGATCAGAACCAGGCCTGAGACTCACCTGTCGTGCTCCTTGTCCACCAGGTGGTAGCGGGCCCTGAAGGCCACCAGGTGGGCGTAGTAGGCGGGGGCGGGGATGGAGACGGAGCGTGTGCAGCGCACGTAGGTGTGGCACAGCTGGTAGGTCAGCAGCTGGAAGTCGTCCGCAGAGAAGCAGTTGTCGTCCCACAGGACGTGGTAGTGGGAGGGCCGGCTGGTTCCCTGTGGGGGGGCACAGAACAGCTGTCCATCCAGGGCCTGAACCCCAAACCCCCCCAGCTCTTCCTGGTTCTGCTCCTCCAATGGGAGGAACCAGGGTCCCAACAGATGAAGCCTTCAACGGCTTCTGTCTGTTATAAACTCTTTATTCAGTTTGTGAAGTTTCTGGAATAATCTCTTAAACGGATATTGTCCATTATTTTCATTATATGTATATTATAATATACATATAAACATAGATATATATATATAAACAATGTTATTTTAATATAATTTTTATTTTGAATTATCTAAAATAATTATACCATATATATGTATTAATAACGATAAAATAATAACAAATAATTTATTAAATCTTAAATAACTTTCCCCAAATAACCCCTGAACCCGTTTTAGCTTAGCTTTATCTTATCTTGGCTTTATCTTAACTTTATCTGAACTTTAGCTTAGCTTTATCTTATATTAACTTTATCTTATCTTAGCTTTATTTGAACTTTAGCTTAGCTTTATCTTTAGCTTATCTTAACGTTAGCTTAAATTTAGCTTAGCTTAACTTTCCTTCTTCCTCCCCCCAGTGAACAAAACCACTCACTGTTCTATTTCAGAACCTAAAAAATAAAAATCAATAAAAAGGTGCAACAGCTCTGGAGGGTCACCTGGATCCCGGCGTGGCTGCACAGGTAGAAGTCGAACTCGTAGGGGTGTGTGATGTCTGTGTCCACCGTGGTGCCGGCCGGGATGTTCCCGCTGCGTCCCACCTGCAGGAGAACCACAGCAAGGCGCCGTCAGGCTCCGCCCACAAAGCATGACATCATCAGCCCCACCCACCGTAAACCAGCCCCCCCTCTGCGGTGCCTGCTCTAAATAAGGAGACGTTTTAGGGCAGTTTCCTAAACAAGCAGCTGGAATGAGATCCAGGCCTCTAAAGCTTTGAGTTTTTACCAAAAGCTACCAAGGGATGGCGCTTTGAGCCCAAACAAGGCAAGTTTCAGAGGCTTGGCTTTAGACCGAAGCTGATTAAATGAAGCTGAGATTTCTGAGCTCTGTAAACACAACAATGATTTCCTTTCATCTAAAGATTTTTTAAATAATTCCCCACACAGATGTTCCTCCCCATTCAAATGGATCACACACAGTATCCTCTCCTTTCTCAGGTAACATGGGACAGCAGGCCCTGCTCCCATTGGCCCGTTGGGATGACTGTGCCGTTTTGAATCCTCTCCTAACACGGTCTCGTCCAATCAGATCTCTGAACTGAGCAGCAAACGCTGGTTTTACAGCAAACTGCTATCAGAGCTTTCTGGGGGGAGTTGGTCCCTAATTGTGCTCTGATTTGGTTTCTGGCAGCAGGACAGCAAAGGTAAGACAGGATTTCTGAGGCTGTTTGTGGAGCCTGAAGCAGAAACTTTGGTCTTTGCTGCTGGTTTAATGAACCTGAAGCTCTGAGAAGCTTTGCTACTCTCTTTTGGGTGCTAACTGTGTTACCCGCTCGCTCCGGTCCGCACAGAAGAGTCGAGTGTGATGGCGCTTCTGCACCACGATGTAGGTGATCCCCGGCTGGTACTCCTTCTCCAGGCTGATGCAGGCCTCCCGCACAGCCAGCAGCTCGTAGCACAGCACCTGCACACAGCTGCAGTCAGAC